CCCCCCCCCCCCCCCCTCTCTCTCTCTTCCCCTGTTTGATGGGTATGTGTAGAGGAATATGGTGGATTGCAGATGTTTTTTCTCGTCTTTAATGGCAGAATCTCAGGCTTTGATTTCTGAACTTGTTTGTTTGCGGATTTGCAGGATTTTGACCACAGATATGGGAGCGGATGGCAATGTGTGGTGGGTTCAAATTTTGGTTGTTTCTTCACCCACTCCAAGGGGTCTTTCATCTACTTCAAACTGGGGACTCTCAACTTTCTCATCTTCAAGGGGGTGACATCCTCGCCCCAGTGATTTGAGTTGTGTTTTCTCTATATATGAATCTCTAGAGAGCTTGGGAAGCTGGAAAGAGAGAGAGTAAAGGAAGGTGTTTTCCTTTTCTATGGCTAGGTCAATTCGATTGGAAGGGAAAGATCGAACCAATGTAAGGGAGATGATAGGAAGTGTCCAAATTACATTATGGGATTGTTTGAAGGTTTATGTTCAAAATGCTTTTGATGCTTTTGTGGGTATACTCTGTAAATATTGAAATCCCGGGGAGACACTTCTTAATCCTATTCGAATAACTTTCATTGTCCCTTTTCTAAATTTCTATTTTCTGCCAAGAAATGCTAACTGTTGGATAAAGAAATCAATTACTGGCAACGACCTCCTTGTTGACTCGAATGGTCAGAAATTATCCAAGATTTGTCAAAATGGAGTCATATTTACAAACTGAGATCCCTAACAAACCTACACATTCTGATAAATAAGGGGACAGCTGAATGAGAAATGGAAATAGATTTTGTCCACCAAAGAAATCTTGACAACAATCTTTGAGGGAAACAAGAGAGACCATATAAAACAACAATAGTTTTAACATTCTAGCTCAAATGTATCAAAGACTACGGGGAGATGTCTAGAAGTAGGGAAAAATTAAATCACAGGAGTAATCAGAGGCTCGTTCCTGAAATGTGCCTCCAAGTTTCCAATCACGAGGTCCGCCATTGCAATGGTGGTCTCAATGGTATCCGTTCCCACATGAGGCAGAAGAACTGCATTCTCAAGCTCAAGCAATTGTTCAGGTACATGGGGCTCGTTTTCAAATACATCTAGTCCTACCCCTCCTAAACGACCTTCGAGTAGCGCGGATACGAGCTCAGATTCATTGACGTGAGCACCTCGCCCAACATTGATAAGAATGCCATTTGGCCCCAATGCATCAATTACTTCTCGATTGATAATGTGCTTAGTTTCTTGGGTCAGATTGCATGCCACAAACAGAAACTGGGAATTTGCAGCCAAGTCTACGACGCTTGGAAAGTATTTGTAACCACTGTGATGCTTTTCATTCCTACTGCAATAACTTATGAAGCAACCAAATGCTTCAGCTCTCTTGGCAATGGCAGAACCAATCCTTCCCAATCCAACAATTCCAACTGATTTACCATTGAACTGAAACAGACAACTACTAAATCAATCAACCAAATCAAGTAACATGAATTCGCAAGAGTTAATGGTTAGGGAAAATTCTATCATCATCAAGACTTGATTATACTTCTTGTTCCAGGAGTTAAAGAGCGGGATAAGATTAGGAAAAACCATGTGATGTCGGACAACAGTGAAGAGCAATCTTTGGTGTTGAATAAGATTGAATGAATGGAAATGATTACGTCTTTCAATTTCCACCAAAATATCTGGAATCTAACAAAAATGTTCCGCAATCTAATATTTCAAGTTCGAAGGCTTCTCTCCTCTACAATCCAGCTTAATCGAAACAAGCAAATATCACTAAGTAATCACTTTGAGCAAAATTAGAGAAGAAATAACGCAACATACACCAAGTAATGCAACGATTAAAACAAACTCACAACCATCTCTACTCTATCGCAATTCACAATAAAAAGAAGCATACCTTCGTTCCCAATCCCAAACCGCCTTTCGTCCACGATCCACTCTTGACGAACCGGTCAGACTCACAAATCCTCCTCGAAACCGCAATGGCCAGTCCAATTGCGGCATCCGCAACATCGTCGGTCAACACATCGGGTGTATTAGTAACCCTAATTCCCTTCTCCCGGCACTTCGGCAAATCAATTTTGTCTAGTCCCACACTGAAGCTCGCTACGATTTCCAACGCCGGAAAAGTGTCGATTAAATTGGCGTCGGCGCCGATCTTGGTACAGCCGACTACTGCTCTGATCGATTTCGCGTTTTGTTGAAGGTAATCGGAGTTGAGAGGATGAATCCAGAGCTTGAAGAGATTGAAGCGTTGTTCAAGCTGTTTTTCGAGGTAACTGAACATTGGAGTGGTCATTGCAACTCCTATCTTCTCCATTTTCAGGGCAGCAAAAAGTTCCAGCGCACTGCAACAATTCACGGAGCAATTTTGAAATTTAGTTGTGTATTTTTTAAGAGTAATTTTTTTTAATATATATATATATATTTTTTAATAAACCTGTCTTTGGTATTTAAATTCACTATGATTTATTTGGTCTACTCAAACAAACAAACATCAGTCATTCAATTCAGATGCTGTACATGGTGACGTTTATTGACGACTATTCGAGATATATTATAGCAATATAAAAACGTTATAAAAAGTCTTGAACTTGTAATAAGATGGGCTGTAACGACGTACGACGCTATCATATCCATTATTTTTTATAGTGAAACTTCGTAACTCCATGTAACTCATCGCTCCAGACACAAACTTCTTAAACTCAGACTCTAAGTCACGGGAGTAAGTAGAGGCTCATTCCTGAAATGTGCCTCCAAGTTTCGAATCACAAGGTCGGCCATTGCAGTGCTGGTCTCGTTGGTATCGGATGCGACGTGAGGCAATAGGACTACATTTTGAAGCTCAAGCAACTGTTTAGGTACATGGGGCTCCTTTTCATATACATCTAGTCCTGCCCCAGCCAAACGACCATCAAGCAGCGCGGAGACGAGCTCAGATTCATCGACGTGAGCGCCTCGTCCAACGTTGATAAGAAAGCCACTTGGCCCCAATGCATCGATTACTTCTCGATTGATAATGTGGTTAGTTTGTTTGGTGAGATTGCATGCCACGAACAGAAACTGGGAGTTTGCAGCCAAGTCTAGGACGGTGGGGAAGTATTTGTAAACACTGTCATGCTTATCATTCCTACTGGAATAACTGATGGAGCACCCAAACGCTTCGGCTCTCTTGGCAATGGCTGAACCAATCCTTCCCAACCCAAGAATTCCTACTGATTTTTTACTGAACTGAAATACACAACAACTGCCGAATCAATTAAAATTATATGATGTCAGGTTTTAAAACTGGTGTTTGTTTAAAAGTTTTAGGATGTAATGTCTCTACAAAGGTGAGAAATTTTTTAAACCAAAACAATTCTCGTACCTAACCATTTATTTTTTAGATTGAGATCAATTATTAATATTTATTTAAATTCTTGTTTTTAATAAAAAATAAAAAGTTAGTTTTAAAGTATTTATTTATTTATTTTTAAACATTTAGTTAAGTTTTACATTTGATTTGATTATATATTTTTTATAGTTAAAAATTTATTTTTTAAAATTATGGAAGAATAAATAATTATAAAATGGATGTATAAAGAACTGTACGGCAAGAAAAAAAATGTATTTTTTTAAAAAAATTAACAATAAATTTGTATGATTCGACTTAATATTAATAAAAATAAATAATTGAGTATGAAATACCTATTTTACCGAACATCATAAATTAATAAAAATATCTCTAAACTTTATATTTTGCTTCAAAATACTTTAAACTTTTAAAAGTTTCAATAAAATATGTTAATTTTGGATGGAAATGGTTAATAATTTATTTCAAAAATACCCGTAAATTTTTAATAATGTTTGAAAAATACTCTTGAATGTTAAAAAGTTCAAAATATCATTACTCTCAGTACTATGTTTAAAAAATATCATTATCGTTAAAGTTACTATTAGTATATATTTAAATAAGTTAGAAAATACTATTATCGTTAGTACTATATTTAAAGAATATTCATGAAATTTTTAAAACAGGATTAGCTCTCTTTATTTTTATATATATATAAAAAATGTTTAAAATTTTTTTTATCATCAATATATGAATATATGAACGAAAACGGTTTACGGACATCTCAAAGATTATTTCCAAATTTTTTAATATTACTTTTGAAATTTTTTTAATATTTTTTAAACCTAATAGTAACGATAAATATATTTTTAAAGCGTTTTTTAAGAAAAATTAAACGTATTAATGAATTTAAATTTAAAAATACTTTTCGTAACTAAAAAACGTTGAAGTGTATTATAAAAAAGAAAGTATTTATTTTTGAACTTTTTATACCGTTTAGGATATTTGTGTAATTTATCGTATTCCCAGCCATCAAATAATCAGCGCAATCTCTCCTCTGTATTTATCCACAAACAAATGCAGAGCGTACCTTCGTTCCCAATCCAAAATCGCCTTTGGTCCACGATCCACTCCGGACGAACCGATCGCACTCACAAATCCTCCTCGAAACCGCAATGGCCAGACCAATTGCGGCATCGGCGACATCATCGGTCAACACATCGGGCGTATTGGTAACCCTAATCCCCTTCTCCACACATTTCGCCAAATCAATTTTGTCGATTCCCACACTGAAGCTCGCTACGACTTCCAAAGCCGGCAAAGCGTCGATCAAATTAGCGTCGGCGCCGGAACTGGAACTGACGACTACTGCTCTGATCGATTGCGCGTTTTGCTGAAGGTAATCGGAGTTGAGAGGATGAATCCAGAGCTTGAAGAGATTGAAGCGTTGTTCAAGCTGTTTTTCGAGGTAACTCACCATTGGATCGGTCATTGCAACTCCTATCTTCTCCATTTTTAGGGCACCAAAAAAGCTTCGGCGGATTGCAGTAATTTTCTGAAATATGAGAGCTCTTTGGGGATTTTGCTTTGTGGTTTTGTTTAAGAGTAAAGTTCGTTCGTTTTATATTATTATTTTTTTAGATTCTTTTTTCTATTTATTAATGAACTTATTTGTATGAAAATTGTTTCCAAAATGGAATTTTATAACAAAAGTTACAGTTGGAAGATATAATGTCAAAATCAACCCTTTTTTTTTTAACTTTATAAATTAATTTGGAATAATTTAAAATTAATTTTGGAATAACTTTAGAAATTAAATTCGAATTAGGTACGCATTTTTAAAGCTTAAAAAAGCATTAAAGAGTACGTACACTTACTTTTTTTTTTTTTTTAGTTTCCAGTTTGTAATTATAAAATACATTAGTAGTAATTATTTTTTAATTACTCTATTAAAATATAAATAAATAAATAATTTATAAAAAAATATGTAGAAGGTAGGATTTGAAGAGCTCAACTAAATCAACTAAATCTATGTTATATTCTTTTTAATTCAAAAAATAATGTTTTAAAAGTATTCTAGTACGAGCATAAGTAACATGGAATGAAATGAAAATTACATAAAGTCGTTTCTTAAAAAGTTGTCTAAAAGTTAGATTGTTACAAAATAGTTTTTAAAAAACGTTTGGAGATCACTTTAAGAAACCAATGTTATAGGCTAGCAAGCAAACAAGCAACAATCACGACTTTAAT